AGTGCACATGGAATATTTTCCAGGACAGATCATATGTTAGGGCTAACATATGGGTATAAAACAAGACTCAATAAATTTAAAGTATTGAAATCATACAAAGTATGTCTGGACATAAGTAACAGAAAGAATTTGGAGAAATTCACAAGTATGTAGAAATTACATAACTCCTAAATAACCAATAGATCGAAGAAGAAATCCCAAGAAAAATTAGAAAATACTTTGAGATTAATGAAAAGGAACACATACCAGAACTTATAGGATGCAGCTAAAGCAGTGCTTAGAGGGAAATTTATAGTTGTTAAGCACCCACACTAAAAAAGAAAGTAGGGGTACCTGGCTGTCCCAGTCGGTAGAGCATCTGATTCTTGATCTCGGAGTCATGAGGTCAAGGCCCACACTGGGTGTAGAGATCACATAAATAAATAAAACTTTTAGGGTAAATACCCAGTAGTGCAATTGCTGGGTCATGGGGTAGCTGTATTTTTAACTTTTGAGGATCTCCACACTTTTCCAAAGTGTCTGTACCAACTTGCATTCCCACCAACAGTGTAAGAGGGTTCCCCTTTCTCCACAATGTCTCCAGCATTTGTTGTTTCTTGTCAATTTTTGCCATTCTAACTGGTGTAAGGTGGTATATCAATGTGGTTTTGATTTGAATTTCCCTGATGGCTAATGATGTTGAACATTTTTTCATGTGTCTATTAGCCGTTTGTATGTCTTCTACCCCAAAGAAACAGATGTAGTGAAAAGAAGGGCCATATGCACCCCAATGTTCATAGCAGCAATGTCGACAATAGCCAAACTGTGGAAGGAGCTGAGATGCCCTTCAAAAGATGAATGGATAAAGATGTGGTCCATATATACAATGGAATATTACTCAACCATCAGAAAGGATGAATACCAGAATTTTATATCAACATGTATGGGACTGGAAGAGATTATGCTGAGTGAAATAAGTCAAACAGAGAAAGACAGTTGTCATACGGTTTCACTTATTTGTGGAACATAAGCAATAGCATGGAGGAGATTAGGAGAAGGAAGGAGAAAATGAAGGTGGGGGAGACAAACCATGAGAGGCTCTGGACTCCGGGAATCAAACTAAGGGTTTTAGAGGGGGGCGGGGGATGGATGAGCACAGTGATGGGTATTAAGGAGGGAACGAATTGCATGGAGCACTGGGTGTTACATGCAAACAATGAATCATGGAACACTGCATCAAAAACTAATGATGTACTCTATGGTGACTAACATAACATAATAAAAGAATTATAATAAAAAATAAATAAAAAATCTTTTAAAAAGAAGGTACTCAAATCAATAACCTAGCGTAAGGAATTAGAAAAAGAAAGGGGAAAAAATCCAAAATTCAAAGCAAGCGGAAGGAAAGAAATAATGACCATTAGAACAGAAATAAATGAAATAGAACCTAGAAAAGCAAGAGAGAAAACCAACTAATCCCAGAGTTGGTTTTTCTGAAAAATCAACAAAATTGATAAACTGCTCTAAGTAGACTGACCAAGATACGGAGAGAAGACTTGAAGTAATAAAATCAGGAATGAAAGAACATTACTGTCAGTCTTACAGAAGAAAGCAATATTATAAGGAAATACTGTGAACAGCTTTGTACAAGAAATTAGATAACCTAGGTGAAATTGACAAATTTTTTTTTGAAAGATTTATTAGAGCACGAGCTGGGTGAGAGGCAGGGGGAGAAGCAGGCTCTCTGCTAAGTGGGGAGCCCAATGCGGGTCTTGATCATGGCCTGAGCTGAAGGCTGACGCTCGCTCACCTGACTGAGCCACCCAGGCGCCCCTAAGTTGACAAATTTCTAAGAAGACATTAGTTATCAGTATTCTTACAAGAAGAGAACAAAAATCCAGATAGATGATTAACAAATACAAAGATTGAGTTAGTAAAAAAACAAAAACAAAACAAACTTCTCACACGGAAGAGCCCAGAACTAGATGGCTTCCCTGGTGAATTCTACCAGATGTTTAAAGATGAAATAAATAGGGGACGCCTGGGTGGCTCAGTTGGTTAAGTGTCTGCCTTTGGCTCAAGTCATGATCCCAGGGTTCTAGGATGGAGGGTCCTGGGATTAAGTCCCACATCAGGCTCCTTGCACAGTGGGGGAGCCTGCTTCTCCCTCTACCGCTGCTCTCCCTGCTTGTGCTCTTTCTCTCTCTGACAAATAAATAAAATCTTAAAAAAAAAAAAAAAAAGATGAAATAGGCAGTGGATAAGGAAACCCAGATGGCTTCGGTGCTTTCCTTTTTTCAGGCAGCCAGAAAGATGGTGGACATTCAGACTGAGCATGCCTGCCAAAAGCAGCCAACCATCTTTCAAAATAAGAAGAGCGTTCTGCTTTAAGAAACTGGCAAGGGGAAGCTCCCGAAATACTACAAAAACATTGGTCTGGGCTTTAAGACACTCAAGGAAGCATTGAGGGCACCTATATTGATAAATGCCCCTTTACTGGTAAAGTCTCCAGCCAAGGGCGGATTCTGTCTGGTGTGGTGACCAAGATGAAGATTCAGAGGACCATTGTCATCTGCCACAACTACCTCCACTGCATCCGAAAGTTCACCACTTTGAGAAATCCACAAGAACACGTCCGTGCACCTTTCCCCCTGCTTCAGGGATATCCAGATCGGCGACAGTGTCACAGTGGGTGAGTGCCAGCCATTGAACAAGACTGTGTGCTTCAACATGCCCAAAGTCACGAAGGCCGCTGGTACCAAAAAGCAATTCCACAAGTTCTGAGACTAGACATCTGCCCACATGCCTGAAGAAAATCAAGTTATTTTCCCAGTTAAAAAAAAAAAAGATAAAATAAATAACACTAGTACCTCATAAACTTTTCCAAAAAATGGAAGCAGGGGGAATACTTTCTGATTCTGAAGGCCAGTATTACTCTGATACCAAAACCATATAAAGACATCACAAGAAAACTATAGGCCAGTATCATTTATGAATATAGATAAAAGAATTCTCAACAAAGTACTAGCAAACTGACTCCAACAACATATGAAAAGCATTATACACTATAACCAAATAGCATTTGTTCTAGGAAAGCAAGGCTGATTTCAATATATAAAAAACAGTCAATGAGATATACCATATTAATACAATAAAGGGGAAAAAACATGAACATCTCAGTAGATAGAGAAGGAGCGTTTGAGGGGCACCTGGGTAGCTCAGTCGGTTAAGCATCTGCTTTCGACTCAGGTCTTGATGTCTGGGTCCTGGGATCGAGACCCGAATCGGGCTCCCTGCTCAGTGGAGAATCTGCTTCTCTTTCCCTCCGCCCCTCCCCACTGCTTGTTCTCTCTCTCTCTCTCAAGTAAATAAATAAAAATCTTTAAAAAAAAAAAAAAAAGGCAGCATTTGACAAAACCCTTCCATGATAAAAAACACTCAACAAACTAGGAATGGAAGGGAACTTCCTCAACCTGATAAAGACCATCAATGAAAAAACCCTCGACTAACATACTAAATGAGCAAAGACTGAAAGCTTTACCCCTAAGATCAAGAACAAGACAAAGATGTCTGTTTTTGCCTGTTCTGTTCACCACTGTACTGAGGTTCTAGCTAGAGCACTTAGGCACCCCCAAAAAAGGGGGGGCATTGCAATTAGAAAGGATGAAATAAAACTATAGCTATTCACAGATGACATGGTCCTTATATATATCATGAAGTTATGAAAGGGGTCAGACCCAAAAGACTGTATGCTATATGATTGCATTCATATGAAATGTCCAGAATAGTCCAGTCCATAGAGACTGAAAGTAAAATAGTGGTTGCTGGAGACTGGGGAAAGAAAGACTGCTTATACGCGTATGGGGTTCCTTTTAGGTGTGGTAAAAATGTTTTGGAATAATACAGTGGTGGTGGTTGCATAACCTTGTGGTTATGCTAAAAACCACTAAATTATACACTTAAATTATGAATCAAAATGGATTCACAATTGCTGCTTCTCATTTCAATTTATTCACATTTCTCTCTCTCTCTCTCTTTTTTTTACAAAGGTGAATCTTCTGTTGAATTGGATACCAAATAACATTTATTTTGTTGTTCTATCATCATTTTTTAATAGAAAGCCCTGGTTTGCCGTAAATTGCAGCCAAACTACGAGAAATCACATTTTTTCTGTATGAGCAGTCTCCAACGATGTTTCTGGGGAATAATATATCTTAATGTTATAAAGACAATTATTAAAACTTAAAAGTAGGTCACCTTTCAGTAATACTTCCTAATTAGTAGCTAGGTAGTATGTTCTAAAGTACAGAACACCTTTTTGGTTTTTAATATTGAAGGTCATTCTGTGCAGGAAGTAGAGTGTGGTTTGTTAGCTTGGATGTGAGGGTAACTGCAAACTGTAGTGGGTGTGGTTAAAACTCCGCCAGCCTGACAGATGGAAGTGTTAATAAATCTGCTACCGGCTCTTCTCATCCTGAGTTATTTTTTGATATCATGCTATGTTTTTAAACTTAACGTGACATTATTTAAACTTAAAAAGAAAAATAATGTTTTAAAGTAAGAGGTAAAGCAATGGTGACTGAAGCCAGACTTCATTTTTACCCTGAAAGACTGTGGTGTGCGTTGTTGCAGCAGCAGAATCCTGTGAGGCTGTATTTGGTCAACAGAGCCCTTTTTCTTCTTGTCCACTCTCTTTCAGCCCTCTAATACCAATAGACAAATTGCTGCATTGTGTCCTTTAAAAGATACTGACACATGGCCAAAAGTCAGTAAAGTAGAATTTGCTTTTAGCTAGAGTCAGCCTCCATTGTGGCGAATGTAATAATTGAGTGGAAAAGAGAATATCCAGTCCAGCCAACATCTGCCTAAAACTGCTGTTTCTGCTTCAGTGGTCAAAGGCAGCATTTAATGGCCTGGAGATGGGTTGAAATGACTAGGATTTACCTTCAGATCACTGTCCATTTTTCTTGTGATGATGGTCCATTGTACTGTAATGCCGTTGTCTTTCTGTATATACATAGGTCGAGAGCACCATTGGATGCTTACTTTCAAGTGAGCCGGACCCAGCCTCATTTGCCAAGCACCTCTCAAAATTCGGAGACCAGGAATCCTGTCTCTGAAGACTTGCAGGTCTCAGGTAGTTCCGATTCTGACAGTGATAGCTCTACAGAGCCCGAAGAAATTGTTGTCCAGGCGGAGGAAACCAGAGCTGTTGTTTTAGAAGGTGAGTATTTTATTCAGTTTTGGATTCGCAAGGCTAACACCCAGGAAGCTTAGCCTCCAGGAAGCTAGGAACTCTCGACTTGTGTTTTGATACTTGACCTTTTCCCCCCAGATGTCATCGATTCGTGCTTCAGATAGTGCAAAGCCTTCACTGGCCATAAGCCTATGTAGAGGATTTGATCTAACTTGAAATGTAATGTGATTTGTGACCCAGTAAGTTGGTCACTTTGTCGTGGCATTTTATATCCTCTTTCATTTTCTTTGACATCCGAGAAGGAAGTAGCTTCTTTATTTAAAAGAAAAGCTTTGTAAATTCAGTACCCTGTCTAGTCTGCCACTTTTGAAGTCCTAGTATAATGTTACGCATTGTGCAAGTAGGACTTTGTTTAGCAGTAGTGGGCAGAGACCCCTCGAGCATATGTCCTGCTTACCCTCTGATACCCCAGATTGTGGTTTTTTCCCACTTAAAGGAACCAGGGCTTCTTGGAGAAATGGTTTTCCAAGTCTGGGATAGGAGATACACAAGGTGAGCCTAGGGCATTTAATTGTGCTAGGAAGCAAGGAAGCCATCTCTCATGGAGTCATCATGTCCGAAGGCATGGGAGCAACCTTAAAAGGGCTCCTCGTGACTTAAGATGGGACAATTTAAACATCAAAATGAATAATGAATGTATTCTTGGATTATGGATTGAAATGTAGGTTAAAATACATCAAATCTGTGAAAAATCTATAAATTCCTGTAGATTTTAAAACCTTATTTATCAGCATCCTAGGTTATTAGAGCCCTGACTCATTACTCTGAAAACTGGTAAATTAAAGGATTAAGCATTTATCCTGTTTTTCCTCTGTGAACTTCATTCAGGAAAACCAAATAGTTGATAAAGGAAGTTTGCTTTTGTTAAGACTTTTTTTTTTTTAGAGTAGTTTAAGGTTCACAACAAAATTGAAAAGGCTCAGAGATTTTCCACGTGCATGTCTCCACACATGCATTGCCTCCTTATTATCAGCATCACTCACCAGAATGGAGATTTGTTACACAGCATAATCACTCAAAGTCCATAGTTTACCTTAGGGTTCACCTTTGGGTTATACATTTTACAGATTTGGACAAATGTATAACGACGTATCCATCATTATATAGAAATTTTCACTGCCCTAAAAATTCTCTTTGCTTTGGCTATTCATTCCTTCCACCTACTGCTAGTGAAGTTTTTTTAAATGAAAAATTCCAGCTAATACTGGAGCAGGAATGATAGGAAAAAGTCATAATTTCCTGACTCCTAATAAAATTATGTATCTAGGCAAAGATCAGCAGTGGATCCTAAAACGATTAGGTTGAAAGGTTAATGGGATTCCTTTTAATAGAGGGACCAGGCTGGCACCACCAGACCTTATATGCCTTTTGATATGTTGCAATCAGAAATATCCAGGGGGGCGCCTGACTGGCTCAGTCAGTGGAGCATGCAACTCCTGATCTTGGCGTTGAAAGTTTAAGCCCAACGTTGGATGTAGAGATTTCTTCAAAATAAAATTAAAAAAAAAAAAGAAAGAAAAATATCCGTAGCACTTAGGAAGTACTATTGCTGCCCCCAAAAAACCCTGAATCTACTTAAGACTCTAGATAAAATAACCAGGTTGCACAGTGTACAGGAAGTAGAGGAACAAGGTAAATAATACTTGAAAGGCGCAACTGTTCAAATCTAAAATTTGGGACATTCTACAAATGGAACATCTAGAAAAAGATCTAAATGTATATGAAAATGTAGTATAGGGATGCCTAGGTGGTTCAGTCAGTTAAGCATCTGCCTTTGGGGGCACCTGGGTGGCTCAGTCGTTAAGCGTCTGCCTTCGGCCCAGGTCATGATCCCAGGGTCCTGGGATCGATTCCCGCATCGGGCTCCCTGCTCCTTGGGAGCCTGCTTCTCCCTCTGCTTCTCTCTCTCTCTCTCCCTCTGTCTCTCATGAATAAATAAATAAAATATTAAAAAAAAAAAAAAAAGCATCTGCCTTTGGCTCAGGTTATGATCCCAGGGTTCCAGGGATTGAGCCCCACGTCTGGCTCCCTGCTCATCGGGGAGTCTTCTTCTCCCTTTGCCCCTCACCACACTCATACATTCACTGTCTCTCAAATAAAATCTTGGGGGAAAAAAAAAAGAAAATTTACTGTATTGTAAAGGGACCATCTCAAATCAGTGGGGAAAAGATAGACTTAAATTAGGTACTATTGTAAAAACTGGATTGCTAACTGGAAAACAATAAAACTAGATTCATGACTCATACTAGAAAATAAGATATTAGTGGATCAGGGACTTAGGATAAAACAAGAAACCATCCTAGTATTAGGAGGAATATATAAGTGATAAAACCCAGAAGTAAGGAGTACTTTGAAATTTAGAGGCAATACAAGAAAATTGCATCAAAAAATTCTTTTTTAGTTTATGACAGTGAACCAGCGTAAGTACTTTATGATATCACTTACATAAAATGTCTAGGAAAGGCAAATCTATAGAGAAAAAGTAGATTAGTGATTGCCTGTGGCTGCTGGTGCAGATGGGAAATGATTCTAAATTGGCATGAGAAATCTTTAGGGGATGATAGAAATGTTTTAAAATTGGATTGTGGTGATGCTTGTACAACTCTGTAAATTTACTGTAAATGAAAGTTAATATCATGAGGAAGCAATCGGTCAAATCCAGGATATAGACATTTTTCAGGATAAATGATCAGATTTCTCAAACAAATCAAGGACAGATGAGGTGAATTTTAATTTAGAACTTAGGTTCATCAACAGACATCATTAGAAGAGTGAAATGGGAACCCATTGACTGGAGAAGACATTCATAATACATATATCTGAAAAAGGGCTTATATCTAGGATGTATAACTTTTGTAGCCTAACAGAAAAATGGGCAAAAGATTTTAAAAGGTACTTCCAAAGGAGGGTAGCCAAATGGCCACTAAATATATAAAAAGACTTCATTAGTCATCAGGGAAATACAAATTAAAACCACAGTGTGGTAACTAATATGCATCCACCACTACAGCCAAAATTTAAGACTGACAATATCAAGTATTGGAAAGAATATAAATCGTCCAGACCTCATGCACTGCTGGTGGGAGTGTAAATTGGTACAGACATTCAGGTGGTATCTTTACAAACTCATCTGTATATATAAAACCTGTGGCTAAGCAATTCTGCTTCTAGGTATGTAACCAAAGGAGTACATGGTGTTCAATAGAAACGTACAAGAATGTAACAGCATTGTTTGTAATGGCAAAAAACTGAAAACGAGGGGCGCCTGGGTGGCTCAGTCGTTAAGCGTCAAGCGTCTGCCTTCGGCTCAGGTCATGATCCCAGGGTCCTGGGATCGGGCCCCGCATCGGGCTCCCTGCTCCGCGGGAAGCCTGCTTCTCCCTCTCCCTCTGTTTGTGTTCCCTCTCTCGCTGTGTCTCTCTCTGTTAAATAAATAAATAAAATCTTTAAAAACAAAAACAAAACCTGAAAACTACCCAAATACCCATCAGCAATAGAACAGATAAATGTGATATACTTACACAATAAAACACAATACAGTGGTGAAATTAAATGAACCACAACTCCACATGTTAGTATGGAAGAATCTTATGAACAGTGTAGAGTAAAATTAGCAGACACAAAAAAGTTGGATAACTGAAATGCTGTTTATATACAAAAGCAGGCAAAAGTCAATAGACGTTCCTAGAATTTAGTAAGGTGGTAACCTTTGGTGGGGGCAAATCATCTCCCCTCTACCCCCAAGAAATAAGGAGGACATAAGGTATAAAAGGCACTCTTGGGGTTTTTGGAGATGTTCTGGTATATAGTTCAGTTTGTGAGAATTCACTGAATGGAATACTGAGGATACACTTTTCTGTATATATATTCCACTTCAATAAAAGTTTGTGGGATTTTTGGTGTTGGGGTTTGTTTTGTTTTTTGGTTCTAGGAGCCAGTTTAAAGGGGCTCCCACAGGCCTCTGATGAGATCATTTGAGCCTCAAAAAGCAAAAGGACTAAAAATTTAAAATCACCTCCTTGACCATCAATGGAGGTTTTGAAAGGTTGACGAGGAACCTAGGGATCAGACTGGTACCACCCAGACCCAGTATGAGCCTTCTTATATGCTACAATCAGAAGTAAACAATAAAAGATGTATTCTTGCTGCCCCTTTTCTTGCCAAAGAACAAAATTGAATCTACCGAAGGCTCTGGATTTAACTGCCAGTTTATAGGAAATATAGGTGATAGAACAAATAAGTAAGCAATACCTCAAGGAGGCAGTCAGTCAAGTGTGGGACGTAGGATATTTCATAAGACAAATGACCAGTTATCCTCCAACAAATCAGTGACAAGGAAGGGGTAAAATTGAATAAAGGAGGGATGCCTGGGTGGCTCAGTCAGTTAAGCATCCGCCTTCAGCTCAGGTCATGATGATCCCAGGATCCTGGAATCAAGTCCCACATCTGGCTCCTTGCTCAGCGGGGAGCCTGCTTCTCCCTCTGCCTGCCACTCCCCCAGCTTGTGCACACACTCTATCTCTCTCTGACAAATAAATAAATAAAATCTTTTTTAAAAAAATGAAGGAGAGGGGCACCTGGGTGGCTCAGTTGGTTAAGTGACTGCCTTCGGCTCGGGTCATGATCCCGGGGTCCTGGGATCGAGCCCCACGTCCAGCTCCCTGCTCGGTGGGAGGCCTGCTTCTCCCTCTCCCACTCCCCCTGCTTGTGTTCCCTCTCTCGCTGTCTCTCTCTCTCTCTGTCAAATAAATAAATAAAATCTTTAAAAAAAAAAAAAAATGAAGGAGAATTGTTAGAGTGAAAAAAAAAAACAGATAAAACAATCAAGCTCGTGGAGGCTTTGCTTAGATTCTTATTGCAATAAATGTGCTGTAAAGAGCAACTTGAAAACAACTGGGAAATTTTGAGTATATTAGTATTAAGGGATTATTGTTACTTCCCTTAGGTATGATAATAATAGTATGTGTAAAATCCTTATCAGTATTACAAAAATTTTTATAAGTGAAATAACATTTTAGAGTTTGTTACTAAGCATTACAAAAGAAAATCATGGGAATGGGGGCTTAGAACAAGATTGGCAAAATACTGATTTGTTTTGAAATTAGGTGATGAGTACGTGTGTGTTACTTATACTGTTCTGTCTACTTTTCATGTATATTTGAAAGTATCCAAAATAAGTTAAAAAGTAAATTCACTATTACTACTTGGGGAAATTTGCAGCATCATTACCAATGAGAAACGGAAAGCCGTGGTGAGCTAGGCTCTCCTGCTAGCCTCTCATACCTGACTTCTGTCTTGTTTTGTGCATTCTCTCTCTTACTGTTCCTGGAAATGACTGGGCAGAACAAGTAGGAGGTACCTCAGCAGAGCAAGAAGTTACATGTATTGGTGGAGGAGAGACCCACCCCAAACAGGTAATATGTGCATCCTTTTAAATGAAATGTTTGGATTTGCATTTAATGAAGAGGCTGAGGGCTAAAGTGGAGAGCTTGCAGACTCTGTAGGCAGGAGGTCAGGGTGTGAGTCCAGTCCATCCTACTCAGTTACGTGACTGCTTCCTCACAGGTTTTGAAAAGCAGGGATACAGGTGAGGATAACTTGTGCTGCCTGCCAAACGAAGTTAAGTTTTGATTAAAGTAGTGGGTATGAACACAGTTTATGAAGTATCTGGTAGAATCTGATTGCTATGTGGTAAACAGGTTTTGTTTACAAAGGTAACACATAGTCCTTAATATGAGTTATTTACATCAGCAGTGGACTCTGCCAATCTGAAAACATCCTTGACCTACTTTTTGCATGTTTCTATTTGGCCTCCATGTTTTTATTTTTTTCTTCTAGGAAAATTTTGTGTGCATGTAAATTTATATGTGTACGTAAATGTTCCCCTTTTTTAATTTACACTAAAGGGAATCTCATTCTTACTAATCACTGCATAGTGTTCAGTCGTAAAGAAATTTTTAGTTAACTCTTATTTTGTCATGTACACTATAGTCGTTCCCATTTCTTCCTCCCTCTCTCCCTCTTTCCTCCTCCCTCCCTCTTCCTTCCTTCCTTCCGGTACAAATCATGCTGGACTAAGCATTTTTGTACGGTGGTCTTGCAAGTATTTGTGACTATTCATATATTCATCGATATATTTCTAGCAGAGAGATTGCTCTGTGAAAGGAAAGATAGATGTATTTAGTTTTGATAGATAATGCCAAACTGCCCTCTGGAAAATTTGTGTCACTTTCTACCTGCAGCAACAGTATGGAAGTGTGCCTATCTCTTCCTTAACCCTCAACATTGCTTGGTGTCATCACACATCAATTTATACCATCTAATAAATGAAAAAATGGTTTCTTACCTTAATTTGCATTTTTTAATTATAAACGAACACTTATGAACCGTTTGTATTCTTTTTGTAAGCTGTTTCTGTCCTCTCTTTGTTTTTCTGGGTTTCTTTTATGTATTTTCTATTCAAGTATTTTATAACTATTTGACGTGATTATGAACCTAATTTTGAATGTTTAACAACCTACTCTTCCGTGTTGTTGGTTATTCAGGCAACTGCTAGATTTGTTTTTTTTTTTAATGTCTTTGTAAAGATAGTTCCTTTTCTTCATTTGAATGAAAAAAAAATCCCAAGAATTTCATAAGATCAAAGGGAAGTAATATTTTCATGGCTTCTATGAAACATTTGACCAGATTGCACTTTACAAAGAATGACAAGTGATTCAGAGGTGTTGTAGTTTTTCGGCAGCATTTTCAGTTGGGTTTGTATTGTTTTTGTGTGGTTTTGTTGATTTGATAGAGTTGCACATCCTCTTCAAGACTGATTTTGTATTTTCCGTAATTTGAATACATTCTGGTTTCCATCTAGTCTCCCCAGAAGACCAGCCCTCTTCTACCTTCTGTTTCTATGGATGATGAAGAAGGGGACACTTGCACAATATGTTTTGAACATTGGACCAATGCTGGGGATCACCGACTCTCAGCATTACGCTGTGGACACCTCTTTGGGTATAAGTGCATTTCTAAGTGGCTCAAGGGCCAGGCACGAAAATGTCCCCAGGTAAGAACCATAGATAAGGACTAAACCTGTGCACAGTCAGCATGTTAAGTCAGGAGGGTTCCTAGAACCACACTAATTTTATCTTGTTGGGCTCTTTAGTGCAACAAGAAAGCCAAGCACAGTGACATCGTTGTTCTTTATGCCCGAACCCTGAGAGCTCTGGACACTAGTGAACATGAGCGCATGAAAAGGTAGGTGGCAAGAATCTACCTACTTGGCAAATCTGAAAAAGGAGGTATGAGTCACTCTTAATGTGGTTGTAAGGCTTTACTTGGATTGTGACGGTGGAACCTCTGGGGGATCACCGGCAGTCTGTCTCACATTGTGATTTTTAATACATGTCTGATATCTTCTGAAGGAGGTCTACATGGTTTGCTCTCCACACAGCATTAAAAAGGAGGTTTTGGAGTAACAACTAATTGTGACTTCAGCTAGCTCAGTGAATGTGGGCCCCAGGCTTATTGAATGTGTACCTTCTCAGCCACAGAATGGGGGAGCCAACCTAACAATGAAGTTGATGCACAAGAAAGCAGAGCTGGGAAGTGGAGAAAGACAGATTCATGGCCCTTGATTCAGCCATGCCTAAAGTTAGACTCCAATGGATTTCTCAGTTATCTAAGTCAATACATTGGTTTTCAGTTTTAGTTTGCCAGCTTAAAGTTTCTATCATATAATCTAGGGAGTATTGACCAATGTTTCATCACATAACATTTTCATTCTGGGAAAACTGACACCTGGGTCATGAAAAACTCATTCCTTGAAAGAAGGGGAAGAGTGCTCGCTTTGGCAGCACATATATGGAGGAAGGAGAAGATAAAAGAAGGATGATAGGTGGTAGACTGTGCCACTTACTTGTGTACCTCGTGTAAGCCTCCGCTTGCAGAGCCTGAGTGCTGTGTGCTGATTGGAACAGGTAGATTCAGAAGGAATAGAGCACCTGTTCCTTCTGCAGGAGCACTTAGCTATCCCCACAAACTTAGAATCAGCTCTAATACTTAAGCTGGCAGTAACATGACCAGGGGAAGCCAAGACAGGGTGTCTTAAGCCCTCCCCCAGTCGAAAGTCATAGAGAAACCTGCAGCCCTCCAGTAATACCTCACACCCGGTGTGGGCAGCAGACCCAAGCAGAAAGATTCCCTGGAATTTTTGTAGCTTATTCAGATTCTTCTCTAGGGTTTACATTTCTGCCTGCCTGTGCTTCTAAATACCATGAACATTTAATCAGGGATTCCTTGTCTTACTCTTTGTAGACAATTTATAACCACTTGGAATATTTTCCAAGTCTTAGTCTCCTCTTCCCTACAGTAGGCTTAATGATACCTTAAACAAAACAACAACAAGAAAGAGAATCTGGCACATTATTTGTTGCCATATTTTGCTGCTCATGTCCCTAAGCCCTCCTACAACGGCACTCTATACAGAAAATTCATGAGTGAGGCTTTGCACATGTAGTGCAATGTAAGAAATTATCAGGATTTTGGAAGCCCAAGAACAGTTGCTAATAATACTGCTTAAACTTTAAGAACCCTAAAAAAATAAAAATACCCACCGAGTGCAGGGACAGGGGTTTTCTCACAGTGCTGCTGTTAAGAATGTACACCGACACAACTATTTAGAGAGACCCTTGACTCTGTGCTTCAAAAGCATTTAAAACTAATTCTACTTTAGGCATTCATTCTAAAGGAACGATTTGTGAAGAAATGTGTGCAAAGATTTACTAATGGGGGGCACTGGCTGGCGCAGTTGGTGGATTTTAAGTTCGAGCCCCATATTGGGTGTAGTGATGATTTAAAAGTAAAATCCTTAGGGGCACATGGATGGCTCAGTCAGTTAGATGTCTGACTCTTGGTTTCAGCTCAGGTCGTGATCCCATGGGTTGAGAGATCAAGCCCCACATCAGGCTCTGCACTCAGCGGGGAGTCTGCTTGAGATTCTGTCCCTCTGCCCCTTCGCCCACTCGCGTGAGCTCGCCTTCTCTCTCTCTAAAATGACTAAATGTTTTTAAAAATAAATAGGGGCGCCTGGGTGGCTCAGTCAGTTCAGCATCTGCCTTTGGCTCAGGTCATGATCCCAGGATCCTGGGATGGAGCCTCGAGTCGGGCTCCCTGCTCAGCAGGGTGTCTGCTTCTCCCTCTGCCCCTCCCCCTGCTCGTGCTCTCTTTCGTTCTCTCTCAAATTAATAAATAAAAAAAATCTTTAGAAGTAAATAAATAAATCATTTTTTGACAAAACAAAACGATTTACTTCATGAGACTTTCCATTTAAGCATTGTTAATCCAAACCAAGAGAATTAATTGGTTGAGTAAACTGGCATATCCAGTGATGGAATACTACACATTTATTTAAACTGATGTTAAAGTGCATGTAATATTTTGTCATGTGAAAGCACATTATGGTGATTATATTTTTGCGAAGCAGAAAAAATACTACAGGTAGTCACTGAGTAGTGGAATTACAGATGATTTTAATTTTCTTCTTTATTTTTTCTCGTTTGGTCCAACAAATACTTACTTGGTCCAATAAATATTTAGTGTTTTTACATGGCAGCCTTGTGAAGAGGGTAATTTTGTTGAAAAAGCTATCTTTGTAGGCATGGTTGTTAAGATATGAGTATATTTAAAACTTTGCTGATTACTCAAAGAACTCCCAAGAAACAGAAGTCCAGGGCCAGTTGGCTTTACAGGTGAATTCTACCAAACATTTGAAGAAGAGTTAATACCTATTCTTTTTTTAAGGATTTATTTATTTATTTTAGTGGGGTGGGGCAGAGGGGGAGAGAGAATCCTGAAGCAGACTCCCTGCTGAGTGTGGAGCCCAACACAAGGCTTGACCCCAGGACCCCAGGATCGTGACCTGAGCCCTAATCAAGACTCGACCGCTTAACCTACTATGCTACCCAGGCGCCCCAATACCTAATTCTTTTCAAACTTTTTCAAAAAATAGAAGAGGAAGGAAAACTTCCAAATTCATTTTATGAGTCAAGTGTCACCCTGATACCAATACCAGATAAAGACACCACAAAAAAAAAAAAGAGAACAACAGGCCAATATGTCTGATGAATATAGGTGCAGAAATCCTCAACAAAGTATTAGCAAACCAAATCCAACAATACATTAAAAAAAAAAATCATTCACCATGATCAAGTGGGATTTATTCCCAGGATGCAAGAGTGGTTCATTATTCGCAAATTAATGTGATACATCATTTCAATGAGAGAAAGGATAAAAACCAAAGAATTATTTCAATAGATGCAAAAAAACATTTGACAAAGTACAACATCCATTCATGATAAAACTCTCAACAAAGTAGGTGTAGAGGGAACAGACTTCAACATAATAAAGGCCTTATATGAAAAACCCCACAGCTAAATCATCCTTAATGGGGGGAAAAGTGGGATCTTTTCAGTTAAGGTCAGGAAGAAGGCAAGGATGTCCACTCTCACCACAGCGATCAGATAAAATAAATAAAAGACATCCAAATTGGTAAGGAAGAACTAAAACTTTACTATTTGCTGATGATATGGTACTGTACATAGAGAACCCAAAGAAGACTCCACCAAAAAACTGCCAGAACTGATAAATGAATTCAGTAAATTTGCAGAATGAAAAATCAGTGTACAGAAAACCGTTCCATTTCTATACACTAATAATGAAGCAGCAGAAAGAAGTTAAGAAAACAATCCCATTTATAATTGTACCAAAAATAATAAAATACCTAGGAATAAACTTAACTAGAGAGAAAGACCTATACTCTGAAAACTATAAAACATTGATGAAAGAAATGGAAGATGGCACAAATGGAAAGACATTCCATGCTTATGGATTGGAAGAACAAATATTATTAAAATGTCTGTGCTACCCAAAGTAATCTACACAGTTAATGCAATCCCTATCAAGATACCAACAGCATTTTTCACAGAACTGGAACAAACAATCCTAAAATTTGTATGGAATCCTAAAAGAAAAAACTGGAGGTATCACAGCTCCGGAGTTCAAGTTATATTACAAAGCTGTAGTAGTCAAAACAGTATGGTAATTGGCACAAAAACAGACACATAGTTGAATGAAACAGAATAGAAAACCCAGAAATGAATCCACAGTTACATGATCAATTACTCTTTGACATAGCAGGAAAGAATATGCAATTCGGGGAAAGAGACTGTCTCTTCAACAAATGGGAAAGCTGGACAGCAACATGCAAAAGAATGAAACTGGACCACTTTCTTATACCATACACAAGAATAAATTCAAAATGGATTGAGGACCTAAATGTGAGACCTGAAACCATAGAAAAGCCTAAAAAAGAGCATAATTACACTGACATCAGCAGTAGCAACATCTTTCTAGCTAGGTCGCCTGAGGCAAGGGAAACAAAAGCAAAAATAAACTACTGGGACTGCATCAAAATAAAAAGCTTCTGCACAGCAAAGGAAACACCAACAAAAAACAACCTACTGAATGGGAGAAGATAATTTGCAAATGACATATCTGATAAAGGGTTAGTATCCAAAACATATAAAGAACTTCTACAACCCACCACCCTAAAAACAAATAATCCAATTTTTTAAAAAATGGGCAGACAACATGAACACACATTTCTCCAAAGAAGACCTCCACATGGCCAACAGACACATGAAAAGATGCTCAGTATCACTCATCGTTGGGGAAATGCAAATCAAAACTATAATGAGATATCCCCTCGTACCTGTCAGAATGGCTAAAAATCAAAAACAGAAGAAACAACAGGTGTTGGCGAGGATGCGGAGAAAAAGGAACCCTCTTGCACTGTTGGTAGGAATGCACACTGGAGCAGCCACTGTGGAGACAGTATGGAGGTTCCTCAAAAAATTTAAAACAGAAATACCATATGATCCAGTAATCACACTGCTGTTTAACCATAGAATACAAAAACACTAATTCAAAGAGATGTATGCACCCCTGTGTTATAGTAGCATTTTACAATAGCCAAAGTATGGAGGCAGCCCAAGTGGAGATGAATGGATAAAGAAGAGGTGGTATACACACACACACACACACACACACACACAAACACACACGAATATTATTCAGCCACAAAAAAGAATGAAATCTTGCCTTATGCAACAACATGGTTGGAGCTGGAGAGTGTAATACTAAATGAAATAAGCCAGTCAGAGAAGGACAAATACCGTATGATTTCATGCATATGTGGGATTTAAGAAATAAAACAAATGAGCAAAGGGGGAAAAAAAGAGAAAAATCAAAAAACAGACTTTTTTTTAAGATTTTATTTATTCAACAGAGAGAGACACAGCAAAAGAGGGAACACAAGCAGGGGGAGTGGGAGAGGGAGAAGCAGGCTTCCCACAGAGCAGGGAGCCCGATGCGGGGCTTGATCCCAGGACCCCGGGATTATGACCTGAGCCGAAGGCAGACGCTTAACGACTGAGCCACCCAGGCACCCCCAAAAACAGACTCTTTAACTATAGAGAACAAACAGATGGTTACCAGAGGAGAGGTGGGTGGGGGATGGGTGAAATAGGTGAAGGGGATTACGAGTACACTTATCTTGATGAGCACTGAGTAATATATGGAATTGTTGAATCACTGTATTGTACACGTGAAACTAATATAACGCTATGTTAACTACACTGGAGTTAAAATTGAAAATAAACTGCTGGTTACTATAATCAATCAGTATGCTCCCTATCCTCTTTAGAAAATGCGAACATTCTGAAAATGCCAGTAAATACAGAAACTTAATAAAATGAACACCCTTGTACTGGACTTTATCAGATCCTAACAAATTGCCATATTTGTTTTAGGCCTTAAAAAAATAAATCATTATAGGTAAGGCAAAAGCTTCCTTGTGAATTTCATTGTCCTTAATTCCATCTCTTTCCCCAGAGGATCTATAATTATAAATCATATAGTATGATTTAGAGTTTTTACACTTTATGCAAATGTTATTGGATTATAATTTTCCTCTGTAATTTGTTTTTTTGTTTTGTTTTTTTTAATTTTATTTATTTAGGGGTACCTGGGTGGCTCAGTTGTTAAGCGTCCGCCTTCGGCTCAGCCCCTGGGATCAAGCCCCGCATCGGGCTCCCTCCTCTGCGGGAAGCCTGCTTCTCCCTCTCCCACTCCCCCCTCTTGTGTTACCTCTCTCGCTGTGTCTCTCTGTCAATTAAATAAATAAAATCTTTTTAAAATTATTTATTTATTTATTTATTTATTTGAGAGAGAAAGAGAGAGCGTGCGAGCAGGGTGAGGGGCAGAGGAAGAAGTAGACTCCCCGCTGAGCAGGGATTCTGATGTGGGGCTTGATCCCAGGAGCCTGGGATCATGACCTGAGCTGAAGGCAGACGCTTAACCAACTGAGCCACCCAGGTGCCCTGTTTTTTTTGTTTAGAATTATGTTTGGGGTACATATCCTAGTTGGGATAGCTCTAGCTTATTCATTCTAACTCTTGTAGAGTGTTCTAGTTCTCTAATTTAGAATTTCCCTGTACATGTTTTGTATTGGTGGACAGTTAAGGTGGTTTCCAGTTTTTGTTAATATAAGCCATCGTGCGGAGAGATGGGCAAAAGTCTCCTTATGTCTAGAAATGGAATTACTTTATTGTAATTCACTAGATACTGTCAAATTGCTCTTCCAAGAAGCTCTTTCCAATTTACACTCCCACCAGCAAAAGTAAGATTTCTCATTTTTTTCATACCCTTGTCCGCTTTGTGTTATCAAACTTAATTTTGACAGTCTCATGGAGTCAAGTAGTGTTTATTTGTATATCCTCAGTTATTAATGAAGTTGGACATACTCGTCTGTGAATTTTGTTTTTTATCTTTTGTTCATTTGTATTGAGCAAAATATATTGTTTATTTCTTACTGATGTATAGTTCATTGTGTTTTCCTTATACAGTTGACCCGGGGACTAGAGGCACCAACCCCTCACACAGTCAAAAATCCACACATAACTTTTTTAACTGCCCAAAACCTTAACCTTAATAGCCTACTGTTGACTAGAAACCTTACTGGTAACATATATTGGTTAACATATATTTTATGTTATATGTATTATGTACTATATCCTTACAATAATACCTAACTTTTTCTTAATTTTTTCCACATTTCTAGGCTACATGGCCAAACATTTCTAGGTTTATCTGTGAGTTTTTTCAAATTGTTGCAAATCTCCAAAAAAATTTTCTGGTGTATTTATTGAAAAAAATCCACTGTAAGTGGACCAGCACAGTTCAAACCCATGTTGTTCAGGGTCACCTGTACTGATTCTTTGCTGGTTGTGTATATTGCAAATAGCATCACCCATTCTGTGGCTTGTCTCTTTAACTTGTTTATGTTTTCTTTTGTTGAACATGAGTTTTTAATTTTAATGCAGTCAAATTTTATCTCTTGTGTTTCTTTGTCCACTGCTTCAAGGTCATAAGGACTTAACGTCTTCTTCTAAAGGTTCTTCAAAAATTTTGCTTTTTATGTAGGTTTAAAATATTTTTAAATATAGTTTTATGGATAACCAGGTGTTGTAGTGTAATTATTAAGTAATATGTTCTTCCTGTATAAGTTTTCATTGCTACCTTTATCCTAGATTAAATTTTTTTTTTTTAGATTTTATTTATTTATTTGAGAGAGAGAATGAGAGATAGAAAGCACGAGAGGGAAGAGGGTCAGAGGGAGAAGCAGACTCCCTGCTGAGCAGGAAGCCCGATGTGGGACTCGATCCCGGAACTCCAGGATCATGACCTGAGCCGAAGGCAGTCGCTCAACCAACTGAGCCACCCAGGCGCCCCTAGATTAAATTTTTGTATATGAATGGACTGCTTTTAGGTTCCATGGTCTCTTTGTTAATTCTTGCCCCAGGATTCCGAAGTTAGAATTTACTGTAGTTTTAAAATACCTCCTCCCACCTTGTTCTTCAAATTGACTTTGGCATTCTTGGCATTTTGCTCTTAATTTTAAAATTAGTTTCCTAAGTTCCATTTAATGCAATTTCAATCAAGATTTCAAAGGGAAAAGCTCCCTTTGAAATCTTGATTGAAATTGCATTAAATTTTTTGAGTAACTTGAGAAGTTCTGTCTTGATGATTTTGAGTCGTTCCAGCTGTGAACATTATATAATATCCTTCCTTCCACTTATTCACTGTCTTCTTGTGCCTTTTACAAGTGTACTTTGCTTTGTAAAGCTCTTGCATGCTCTTTAATTTTATTCCTAGGTTGCTATTGTTAGAATTGCTCTTGTGAATGATTTTTTTTCTGTTACATTTACTAATCAGTTATCTGGCATATGGGAAATGCTATTGATCTAAATCTTTTGTTTTAGTTCATTTATTTTTTCAGTATTCTGTATACCCACCGGGGGGCTTGAGCTCAATGACTCTGAGATCAAGAATCATGCATTTCTCTGACTGAGCCAGCTAGGCACCCCAGTCTAATTTCCTGATCTTAATTCCAGCACATAGTTTGTGGGTTCTCTTAAACTTTCCACGGAGATGAATAGGGCAGCTTTATCCTTTCCAGTTTTCATCTTTTCTCCATCCTGTCTTACTGAGTGTAAATTTTTTTGTGTGTACATATTTTGAAGTGTCTTTAGGTACATGCAAATTTATAACTTTTATTCTTGGTGAATGTATGTTTTCATTATGGATTGTTCCTCTTTATGCCTATTCATGTTTTTTTGTTTGTTTTAAGATTTTATTTATTTATTTGACAGAGAGAGAGACAGCGAGAGAGGGAACACAAGCAGGGGGAGAGGGAGAAGCAGGCTTCCTGCCAAGCAGGGAGCCTGATGCGGGGCTCGATCCCAGGACCCTGGGATCATGACCTGAGCCGAAGGCAGACGCTTAACGACTGAGTCAACTAGGCGCCCCTATTCATGCTTTTTAATTCTGACTGGTCTTAGCATTTTCCCAGTATATACCTTCTCTCTTTTTACCTTCAGCCTCGTTTTTGTAGTGTTATTTAATTTCAGTATCTGATAAACAACTGGTAACTTACTGTTTTCTCTTAATCCAACAGATGACCTTGGTCTTTTAACATTGTCATTTTACTCTTATAATTTGGCCCTAACTCGAGCAGTGGGTTTGCCTCTGTTCTCTCATTTGGCACTTTTGCATTTTTGGTCTCATTTCCTAGTAAAAGCCAGATTCCTGGACATCACTGCCTGCATTAATGCTGAATCCCAGTGACTCCTGAGTTCAGCCCTGCGTGCTCCTTTTTTGTAGTGTTTCTAGATGTGAGAGATTTTTTTCTTTTGTTATATTTTATTCACCATCATGACGTATTTACAGCAAAGTGTGTGTATCTAGCATGAACTTAATCTGACATCTTGTTGGGAAGTCTTCTGTGGCCTTCCTAATCTACACCTGTTGCTGGCTTCCCTTTCTAGTTCCTTACTGAAGGAGCAGATGCTGAGGAAGCAGGCCGAGTTAGAATCGGCGCAGTGCCGGCTCCAACTTCAAGTCCTCACTGATGAATGCAGTAAGCTTCATAGTCGTGTCCAGGTAGGTTTCCCATCCTAATCCAGAGAACTTTGGGGATAGGAATGGAAAAGGAATCTAAATAGAACTTTGGTTCATCTTAGATACAAATAAAGATTTACCAGGTTTTTCAGGAAGTAAGCAAGACCAACTCTTTATTCTATTTTTGATTAGAGCATTTGTTGGAATTGTACACTCTTGAGGATGAATTCTGCAATTCGAACTTGGAACAAATTAAACAGTCGGCTGTTAATTCAAATTTTAAGTAATTTTACCTCCCAGAATCTACCAATAATATGAGGGGTTTAGCCAAGATGACCATTGGAGACTTTCAGCCCTCCTACTTTCTGATCTGTGCTCTTGTTGGTTCAGTTTCTTGTTGAAATACTGGGAGAACGGCAGTGGGGCTCCCGGACTCACATCAGCATTTCCATGTAACAGAGAAGAAACATTCCCATGTGAAATGAAGGAATTGTGCATGAGGGGGATATCAGACGAAAAGGCTTCACATTTACAACATCGTTTTCATTTTAGGACTTGCAGAAGCTTATTGTGCAGCATCGGGATCAGATTTCACAGTCCCCCGGGGGCTCCCAAGCACGTTTCCTGAACTGCCTGCCCTCCAGCCAGAACCAGCACAAGTACCATTTCCAGAAGACCTTCACAGTGTCTCAGACAGGAAACTGCCGCATCATGGCATACTGCGATGCCCTGAGCTGCCTGGTGGTGTCACAGCCTTCTCCTCAGGCCTCCTTCCTGCCAGGTGAACAGTCCAGCACCTCAGCTTTCGTGTTCATTATTGGACTTCATTTCTCTTGTCTCTTTTTTGTAGAATCCAGGACTTGCTAGTGGGTGAACGCTGACCACAGCCCACCAAATCACCTTTCCTAGTCTGTTAATGCAGATACTCTAAGGTGCTGCAAAGATACCTGTCCATTGGCTTCATTCTGTACATGTATTCACCAAGAGCCCAGGAATGCTGATTAATAACTGTAATAAAGTAAGAGAAGATAGGGTACTTGGAAGCATGGGTTACTGGTATAGTCCAAGGAAAAGGACAGCACTTCCTGTCTGTTCCATTAAAGTCACACATTCATGGGGGCACCTGACTGGCTCTGTCAGTAGAGTATGAGACTTGAATTTGAGCCCCATGTTGGGTATAGAGATTATTTAGAAAAAAATTTTGTTTAATAAAAATTAAATAAGGTCACAGATTCATTTTAGACTAGAGACTTTAAGATTTTATATTTTTTTAATCTCAAAAAACAAAAACAAAAAAAACCCACAAAAACTAAAAAGGTAATCTCTACACCCAATGTGGGGCTCAAACTTAGAACCCCAATAACAAGAGTCACATGCCAGGGCGCCTGGGTGGCTCAGTCGTTAAGCGTCTGCCTTCGGCTCGGGTCATGGTCCCAGGGTCCTGGAATCGAGCCCCGCATCGGGCTCCCTGCTCGGCGGGGAGTCTGCTTCTCCCTCTCCCACTCCCCCTGCTTGTATTCCCTCTCTTGCTGTCTCTCTCTCTCTGTCAAATAAATAAATAGAATCTTTTAAAAAAAGAAAAAAAGAGTCACATGCCCTACCGACTCACCCAGACAGGTGCCCCTAGACTGGAAATATTTTTAAAAACGCTATCCCAGGGGCGCCTGGGTGGCTCATTTGATATATCATCCCACTCTTGATTTTGGCTCGGGTTGTAATCTCAGGGTTATGGGATTGAGCCCCACACTGGGCTCCGTGCTCAGTGGGGAATCTGCTTGGGATTCTCTCCCTCTCCCTCTGCCCTACCCCTTGCCCGTTCGTGCTCTCACTCACTTGCTCTCTGTCTCTCTAAAATAAATAAATAAATCTTAAAAAAACAAAAAATACTATCCCAAGGGCTCATTCAAGTTGAAACAAGATTTAATACTTATTTTCAGTAGTATTCAAATTCACAAATTCTGAATAAAAGAATTTGGAAATAGATTGATTAGTTATTGATAATACAATAAATACTAAATTTTCTCATATTTTGTGCTTTTTTAATTAATTAGTTTATTTATTTTAAAGATTTAATTATTTATTTGACAGAGAGAGAGACAGCGAGAGAGGGAACACAAGCAGAGGGAGTGGGAGAGAGAGAAGCAGGCTTCCCACAGAGCAGGGAGCCCGATGCGGGCCTCGATCCCAGGACCCTGGGATCGTGACCTGAGCTGAAGGCAGACGCTTAACGATTGAGCCACCCAGGCGCTCCTATTTTGTGCTTTTTAAAAAGCTTAATTTTAGGTTGTCTTAATGTTGAAAACCCTCACATGCTTAATGTTGAAATCCCCTCACATGCCCAGTTAAATCATTCCTGATTGTAGTAGATGTTTCTTTCCACAGTCTTCAGCATATGATTTCTCCCAGCTGTCAGGTCCTTTTGCTTCAGCCTGATTTCCTGTTTACCCACTTAGAAGTTCCATTCAAATGCTTCAAAACTGTGTCCCCCTAAACTTAGGTATATATAGAATTAGAAGTAGAATTCCTAGATCGTTGTATATTTTTCTGTTCACTGATAGCCGGGAGTTGAGAGAAGCTCTAGTTAAGGGGAACATAAAAGAATTGTTTATAATGTTTCTATGTCCCATCCACATCTTTAATAAAAGATTTATCATAAAAGCCTTTCCTACAAACTGGGAAAATACTTATTTCTTTGAATTGTTCCCCCAATTGGGTGTGATCTGTTCCTTTTTCCTTAATGCATCTATTCCACACAGCACAGCCAGGTCTTGATAGCTTGTTGGCGCTAATTTCTCTCTGTTTCCCTTGATCATTAACTAGTCCAGTATTCATGCTCCCTGTTGATTTAAAGCCCATTATTTCCCTGTTTGTCTTTCTGGCTGTCCTAATTCTGTTTCAGGAGAAAACACAATAAACTTTTCCCACTTGGTTCCCCAGAGAAGCTGACGTGTGACTCAAGGCTATCCTAAATCTTAAGATTTGACAAATTCTGTTTGTGGATAACTTGGATAATAATAGATACTTAGTAAAAATAAATATATTATCAGAGCCTAGGAAGAGAACAGAGTAACAAATAAAAAGGTCAAGTTTGGGGGGGGGATTTTTTCCCCTTCTGGAATGATGCAAATTGATTAGAATACTTGAAATGTCATCTGTTTTTTTTCCATTCAGACAAATGTAGCATGTCTTGACCACCTTGCATAGAAATCACCCATCTCCATTCTTTCTTGTTCACTCTCTCTGCATCTTCACTGTGAATCTCTATATTAATAGCTTTATTGAAATTTGACATAAAATAAATTGCACATATTGAAAGTATAGTTGGATGAATTTTGATATATGTAGACACCCCTGAAACCATCCCCACAATCAAGATAATGAACATCTATTGCCCCAGAGTTTTCTAAAGCCCTTTATAATCTATCTCCCATCTGCCCCTCCCTCCTCTCTTCATCCCTAGGCAGCCACTGATCTACTTTCTGTCACTACACATCAGTTTGCATATTCTAGAATTTTACATAATCATAATCATACAGTATTACCTTTTTTGTCTGGCTTCTTTCAGCATAAAGTTTTAGAGATTCATCCATATTATTGTGTATATCAGTAGTTCATTTCCTTGTATTGCTGGGCAGTGTTCTCTTCTATGTATATGTACATATAGTGGTTTATCCATTCACCTGTTGTTGGACATTTGGAGTGGAATATACTTTTTAAAATAATTACAACCCTGGGGAATTTTTATTTTCTTTGTTTGACCAGCTGTTTTCCAGGGATTTATATGCCAGGAAAGCTGAACAAAGGAGCTACTTGAAAAGGTAGTTTGCTTTGCCTTAAATTGACTTTCAGTGATTTCATGCTCTCTTCTCTTTGGCAGGCTTTGGTGTTAAGATGTTGAGTACTGCCAACATGAAAAGCAGTCAGTACATTGCCATGCATGGCAAACAGATCCGCGGACTGGCTTTCAGCAGTCGGTCCAAAGGCTTACTGCTTTCGGCTTCCCTAGACAACACTGTTAAACTGACCAGGTGAGTGCTTCGGGGAGGAAGTAGGAGCCTGGGCTGTTTAGTGTTGAACAGAGTGGAAATTAGTATCCATGTTAGGATGGCCTTAGCTCGCTTTTTTTTCCTTTTTTTTTTGGTCTGAGGCATTGTCTTCTGAGACCCAGGTTCATTGAATTTGAAATGTATTCCTTTTCAGAGTAGATGCCGCAGGCTGCACAACAGTATGTGCAGTGCCCTGTTTCTTTAAAACTTATTTGTGTTACAAAATACATCCTAAGCCAGGCAGATGAGAGGAACACCCTAGAGATGGTTGAATGACATTATGGAGGGAGCCTTGGTACCGGGCACCATGGGGTTACCATACCAGCTTGGACCTGCTTATTCCTGGTCTGTTACCGGGATCATCCTGCTGAACAAAAATGCTCTCCAGGAGCTCATTCTCCTGGGGTGCCCTGACTTCTCTTGTCAGTAACCCTCGGTTACTGCATTTTATCCATGTGCCCTGTGACTGCTATGAACCAGATCTGAACGCACTCAGTGCCTTCGTCTTAGGAAGTAGTTCTGATCAGACGTCTGATAGTTGGTTTCCTGTCCCACGGTTAAATCTGAGGGACATCATGATACTGCTATCAGGCCTGATAAGCCTTTTGATTTTTCAAGAATGCTCCGGCTTAATTAGCCCCAAAATTCAGCGTGGCATTATGTTTTATACATATGTATAAAAGGATTTTTTTTTCCTAGTAATGTTAAAAAATAGGTGGGGAGAAGAGGGCAGGTTAAAGACTAAAGTGTTATTAATGACTGTCTCTGGGTGGTTGGATTGTTAGTTTTTATTTTTCTCACGGGTATGTTCTAATTTTTCAGCATTGAATATTGATTACCTGTATAATAGATAATTATGGAGAATTATTTATTTAACTTATTCTTTTATTTTCCTTACATTTCAAGAGGAAAGCCTGTGTCCCCCAAAAGAAATATTTTGGAATCGAAAGGAGTCACCTGGGCAGTCCCTACAGGAAATTGGGAATCCCAAATTGTTTGGGTGTGTGGGTGTGTTCTTAAAAGATTATCACTGAAATGATAATCTTTACATCTTTGTTATATATTTGATTTCCTTAATGCATAGTTGTGAAAGTCTTATATCTCCACAGCCTGGAGACAAATACAGTGGTCCAGACTTACGATGCTGGTCGCCCTGTCTGGAGCTGCTGCTGGTGTCTTGATGAAAGCAATCACATCTATGCTGGACTGGTCAATGGTTCGATCCTGGTGTATGACCTTCGAAACACGAGCTGTCATATCCAGGAGTTAGTACCCCAGAAAGCCAGGTAGGGAACCACTTAGTTTTTCCCAGTAGTTAGCAGCTTTCTCTTGGACCATCATATGAATCCTCTCTTTGGAGAGTATTTCCCATTTGGTCAGAATTCCTCACAGAGGGCAGTTCTCTGTGTGCAGTAATGTGTTCTTGCTTTGGGCTCAGTAAGACCCTTTCCATGTGTTCATGATATTTCTACATGGTAGAAGGCCCTAGTGCCAAGTATGGCCAGGTCCAGTACAATCATTCATCACTCAGCATGGCAAAATGAAGTCAGATCTGTTTTCCAAACCCGGCTCCACTGCATAGGAGCTGTGTGACCTTGGTCACGGTTCTTGGCCTATTACAGAGACTTGCTTTAATAGCCACATGTCTAACGCACAGGAAGAGATCAGTAAAGGGTAGGCCTATGCAAAATGATTTAAAATCTCCAGCTAAACCAACTTGGTCTAAAGATGCCATGTTACTATGATGGATCATCTATAATCCAGTTACGGAGTTGGGAGGTTTATAAAGTCAAGCCCAGAATCTGAGGGTGGGTGGCCACCAGCACCACTGTGACTCTTCAGAATGTGTTGAGTACCATTTGGGCGTAATACGCTCCTGAAGGCATAAAGTTCTGAAAAGGAAAAGTGGAATCTGACCTAGGCCAAAATGAGAAGTATCTTAAAAGAGAATTTCCATTTCCAATGTGAATATATATTAAAAAGGGGGCAGGGGGATCTAAACGTAAAGATATCACTATAGTAATGATATAGTAATAGTTACTAAACCTAGGCTCAACGCTCTGGGGTGTTCTCATTTGAGTGGGGTAGACTCATGCTTATTTTACGTGGTCTGTGGGCCTGAAGAGGATGGATGTGAACTCCCAGCAAACATGGGGACTGCCATTGATGTTGACGGATTCAGGCAGAGCAGGCAATAAAATAGAGCAAACAGCCAGGAAAGACAGGACAATGAAAGAAAGCAGGCAAAATGACCGTTTTGAAAAGTCCAGCAGAAACAAAGTTCATAGGAACAGATTCGGCAGGCTGATAGTTCTATTCTTGGCGTACAGTTCTGGTCGTATGCTTGCAGAAAGAGATTTAGAAAATTTCTAAAGAAACAATCTTGTTTCTGAATTAAAATGCAGTTGCTTCAGGGCCTGGCTCAGTTGGAAGAGCATGTGACTCTTGATCTCAGGGTCATGAGTTGGAACTCCGCGTTGGATGTAAAGAGTATTTAAATTAAAAAAAAAATGCAGTTGCTTCAGGCTGTATGTTAATTGAAGGGTCTGTCAATTACAGCTTGAAAGCTTTATTAAATGTGTAAGCTGCATTTCCTTTCTGACTTTCCTTGTGTATATGGCTAGCCCCATTACTAGAAACTTCACACCAGTCAATCTTCCTTGTATTTGTGATCTTGTACTATTAAATTTCCTAGTCCTTTTTTTTTTTTTAACTGTTTTTCAAACATGTGATATCTCCTCTGAAATTGGATGCAGAGATTATAGGTGTACTCTTGTGTTTCTACTGAGTGGGTTGGTAGTTTTTATCAAATGTCAAAGGAGAGTGGCCCAAGGAAGGTCTTTACCCTCTTCTCTAGAGGTAGGAGCAGTACAAGTATTGGAATGTGAAACATGGTTTCCTTTCTTCCCCTTCAGATGCCCGCTGGTGTCCCTGTCATACATACCCAGAGCTGCCTCAGCTGCATTTCCATATGGTGGGGTATTGGCTGGAACCTTGGAGAACGCTTCCTTCTGGGAGCTCAAAATGGGCTTTTCTCATTGGCCTCACGTGCTGCCCACGGAGCCAGGGGGCTGCATAGACTTTCAGACAGAGAGCAGCACCCGGCACTGTCTTGTGACCTACAGGCCTGGTGAGTGTTGGGATGTCCTCGTGGGACCTCCCGTGGGTTGTCTGGGAGCACATCGGTTCAGGGGAAGAAAGGAGAGCTTGCCCTACTCTTCAAGTGGCTCTGGGAAGCCCCCCCAGAGACTAACGGCTCTTGCTACTGCATGGAAGATGGTGGCCCCACATTCCTCCCTAGAGCCTGCCTCTGCTTCTCACTTGTCTGAGGATTCTGCCAGGTACTCCTTGGAGTGAGTCAGCCACTTGAGGAGCCCCTGTGATTTAGAACAGTAATGGAATGAGGAGGCCTGGAATTGAGGCCAGTGAGTCACCCTCAGTGCAGTTTCGTGTCTTCTGCGTACCCCTAAGGAATATAAAAACCTAAGCCGGGGTCTGGCAGAATACAGTGATTTTACTAAGAAGGATAGCTTATGCTCAGAATTGTTTCCCTCATAGGCAAAAATACCTTGTAGATAACTTGCTTTATCTTAGCCTGGGGTTCTGAATTTCATTTATGCTGTATCATTTTGTTCTTATTATTACGGTTGCTTTGTAGCTATTCTTAATGGCTTAGTAAATTGTGGCTCTTGCACTCAGGTAGTTGGTTAGCATCTGAGGTTCGGGTACTTCATTCATTTCTTTGGATCATCCCCATGGAGCAACATTGATTTCTTTGTCCCGTAGATAAAAATCACAACACTTTACGAAGTGTGCTGATGGAGATGTCCTATAAGCTGGATGGTGCTGGAGAGCCAGTCTGTTCCTGCCATCCTGTACAAACGTTCCTTGGGGGACCCACTTGCAAACTACTGACCAAAAGTGCCATTTTCCAAAACCCAGAGAATGATGGCAGCATCCTGGTGTGTACTGGGGATGAAGCATCAAATTCTGCCCTGGTGAGCCTGTTATTTTTTTATACTGAAGTGTATAGAGCAAAAAGCCAAAGTTCTCCATAATTGTACATATCTGTGTATGCGTGTATGTAGGGTTGTTTATTTTTACCCAAGTTACCCTTTACATACTGCCCTATAATTCGCTCTTCTCCCATTTAACTTCCTAGCTTGGATATCTTTCCATTTCCATATCTGTAGAGTCACCTCATTCTTTTTTATGTGAGCTATATAGTGTCCTGTGGGTCATCTTGTGAATCTTTAAAAAAAAAATAAAAAAAAAAAGGAACTACTGAAACCCCTATAAAATAATTGATTCAGGGGCTCCTGGGTGGCTCAGTTGTTAAGCGTCTGCCTTCGACTCAGGTCATGATCTCAGGGTCCTGGGATCGAGCCCCACATCGGGCTCTCTGCTCAGCGGGAAGCCTGCTTCTCCCTCTCCCTCTGCCCCTCCCCCTGCTTGTGCTGTTTCTCTCTGTCAAATGAATAGAATAAAATCTTTTAAAATAGATAGATCAATAGATAAAATAATTGATTCAGGTTAACAGTTTCATGAGTTCAGGGTGAAACCGACAAATGGATGGTTGATGGGGAATTGTACAGTGCAGGGATCAGTCTGTCATGACCTGGACACATCGATCAACCTTAATATCACTGTAAGTGGGTTAACAAGAAATAATTTGCCTCTTAATGTAAGACAGTATGAAACATGTGGCACCTGTGAGACGCCCTTGAACCTAAATCTAATCAAGCTTTGGAGTGTTGCTGACCAGTGTAGTTGCACTAACCACATAAGGACTTGAAATGTGATTAGTATGAATGAAGAACTTGATTTTTAAATTTTTATTTAATTTTAATTTAAATAGCCTGATGTGGCTAGTGGTCACCATATTGGGTGGCACTGCTATAGCATAAGGGTAAAATGACATGAAGTAAGAAACAAACCAAAATAGCATCAGTAAAGCAGATATGGTAAAAAGCTTAATAATCTGGGTGATGGGCAGTTCATTGTTGTACTACCCTACTTTTTATTATGAAAATTTTTTTCATAATAAAAAGTTTGTGAAAAGGAGAAGAAAGCACTAGTTAGAAGATTTCATGAGGGCAGAGACACAGGGACTTTTGTCTTGTTGACTCTTTGGTCCCTCGATGGAAGGGCTTGATGGAGGGCTGAATGCTAGCTTGGTTTATAGATCCACTCACAGGTAGACTAACTGCTTATCACCTTGCAGAGGCCAGAGCTAAACCGTGTTGTGTATCCTGGCTTTGTGAAGGTTAGGGACAATCTGTCTTACTCCCCGGGCAGTGCTCTCTCTCTCTCTGCAGCTCTTTCAAAGTTGTCTGATGGTGTTAAGGAGTGCGCTTGTGATGAGCACCCGGTGTTGTATGGAACTGGTGAATCACTTCGTTGTACACCAGAAACTAATATCACAGTGTATGTTAACTAACTGGAGTTTAAATAAAAATTTAACAGAAGGGCGCCTGGTGGCTCAGTCAGTTAAGCGTCTGCCTTCGGCTCAGGTCATGATCCCAAGGTCCTGGGATCAAGCCCTGCGTCGGGCTCCCTGCTCTGCGGGGAGTCTGCTTCTCTCTCTTACTCTCCCTCCCTCTCTCTCTCTCTCAAATAAATAAATAAAATCTTAAGAAACCCCACAAAGTTGTCTGATGATCAAGCAAGCAGGACCCCCAGCTCAACTGAATGACCCCTGACCCTTCTCTCTGTCTTCTGTAGCTGTGGGACGCCGGCAGTGGCTCGTTGCTTCAGGAACTGCAGGCCGATCAGCCTGTCTTGGACATCTGCCCGTTTGAGGTGAACCACAACAGCTACTTGGCTACCTTAACCGAGAAGATGGTCCACATCTATAGGTGGGAGTGACTGTGTCTGGAACTTGGCAGGCCTGCTGCTGGTTTTCGTTAAATGTTTGCTAGCAGCTAGCAGCCCTGAGCAAGATCCCTGCTTATTGTCTGTGGCCTAGAACTTCTGGGATCATGATTCTTTTGGGTTGATGTGACTCAAAGACTCCGGGTCACTGAAACACTACGGGTCGTGTATTTGCAGTGTCCATCAAATGAGTAAGTGGCCGGTACTCCCATCTATGTATTCATGTCTTGGGTTAAAATCCTTCATGAATCTGCTGAGAATCTATATCTGATCAGACATTCTGCTGGGCCTCCGAGAATATCCTCCAAGCAGTCATGTAGGATATGAGTGTACACCAAGCATTTTCTGAAGGATGTGACCCTGCCTAAGTGGTCTTGTCACTTGAGCTCTATGACTTGGGGATGAATGCTTATATTCCAGAAGGGGCCAACCGTCTTCATGTTGCTTGGATGCCACGTGGATGCAGAAGAGTCTTCAGTTGAACACAAGAGGGCACTATACAACCTGGTGAAGGATTTGATCTACTTCTGACTTTGTTGGTGACAACCTTTTAGTAACTTGGTCTCATCCACACAGAAGCATGTGGTAGAGCACATCTGGTCTGCTTTGTGGCAGCAACAGAACATTCCAGGTGTGCAGTGCTGGGATCTTGGCAAGCCCAGTGATGGAGGTGGCTGATGAGCTATAGACCCTTTCCTAATGCTGAGTGCATTAAGTTCATCACATTGTGGGAGCCAAGGAAAGAGACCAGTTGTTGGAACAGTGGGGAAGCCTCATTTTTTCTAGCTAGCTTGGGATCTCAGGCTTGGTTTTATCTAAGCAGTGCTCTGAAAACCACTCCTTTTCCCTCACACTAGGAAAAGATGAGTATATGTGAAAGCTCTTATTAAGTCTTTCCTAGTAAAAGAGATCAAGAGCAAGGGGCTAACCAAGAGAGGGCTGCAAAAGAGAAGCTCCTCAGACTGCTTCTGAAAACAGGAGAAAGGCTTGTCTCTTCATTTTGAAAGAGTTCCTATCTGAATAAAGCCGAGCTCTCAGTGAGGGGGCTGTTCTTGAGCGTGTTTATAGAGTTCCCAGGTAAAGCCTTCCTCATGTGAAACTGATGTTTGGCTCCGATAGGCCTCCCTTCCTAACCTTTTTAAAAAGTTGTTAGAGAAATAGTTACTCTCAGGAAGATAAAGTGGTTGGAGACCTGTGTGGATTGCAGGGAGAAGCCCACGAGCTTTCGTTCTGACCGTGGATTGTCCAACATTGCGAGCTGCCCTTCTCTCCAGGAGAGGGTTCAGTGTATGTCTGTTTGCTTTGCCGAAGGCTGCCCTGCTAAAGGACAGTCCAGACAGGACGTGCCTCAGGCATGGTGGCCCGTGCCCTGTTCTTAGAAGCAGGACGGCCAACACTGTGACTTTCTTAAATGATTGTTCTGTAAGTGTTATTATTTTTATTTTAAAACAGTTCTGGCCTGACAGGTCCTGAGCTGTTTCCAGCATTTCTCACTAGCAAGGGGTTATTGTAGTCGATTTCCCCACAGTTCCAGGTTCTAGTTGTGCCTTTTAAAGAGTGGCCTCCTTCTCTTTAGTACATCTTTCAAAAAGCCAGGTTCCAGAGCCTGGGAAAGAGCCCCCTTTTCTCAGAGGAGATACTCCTTTCACTATGTCGATGATTCAGAATGACTGCCCAGGCCTAGAGCATCAGTGGCAGGAAGGGATTTGAATTGAAAAGCAGAACTCATCTGGTTTCAGCAGATTGCCAGAGAGGATGCAGTTGGGCAGGCCCTGGCTGCCTTTGTCTTTGGCAGGGACAAAACCTGGAGCGGGGTTAGGATTTGACTGGGGCTGGAAGTACACTCAGCTGATGCTGATTGATCCCCCCAAGCACAGGAACCACGGGCCTTATTACCACGGAGGTTGGGTGAATCTCAGGTCTTGCTAGTTCTTGTGTTCCTCCAGTAAATTTGAATGCTTCAGAAACAAATTTATGTAACTTCAACTGATTTCTCCCAAGGAAAAGACTTTGCCCCCAGCCACTCTACCCCTGCCCCCCTCAGCCCGCAGGAGGTTCCATCTGTAGACCCAGGCTCCGGGCTCTCACGCAGCACTAGGCTCTGCCCCAACATGTCCCCTCACCCGTCTCTAAGGTGGTTCTCCCTTTGGAAGGTTTGGAGTTAAACAGACTCAAAACATTTTGTAAATGTAGATATCCTTGTACCTGCTTTGACAGGGCAGTGGGACCTCTGTTCATATTCTGTGTTTTAATGTTTGTGTTAATATTAATATGAAAATAAAGCATTTGCCACGTGTACCAGCTCCTAGTGTCTTTTGTCTCTTTGACTGCCAGAGGCAAAAGCATGTCTGCCTCTTGGGAAAGTGAAACAATCTCAGCCTGGTAGATTTCTTCATTTCATGCAGTACTGGATCTGAATTACACAGGATGGACTCTGGATCTGAAGCAAACATCTTATTTAAATTGATGAGGTGGTTTAACTGGCAATTCTTTTCTACTGTTGCTTAATGGGAAGCTGTGTGTTTGCTTCTTAGGAACTTGCCTACACTGGTGATGTGTTTGCTCTCAGATCCAAGGGGCTTAAATCTTGGAAACTATACTTCCCAGACTCCCTTTGCCCACTGGCATCCTTGGTGTTTTCTTTGAATCCAGAAAACCGTAATGTGGGAGGAGAGGAGTGGAAGAGAGGACTTACCCTTTTATTTCTTTTAGTCTTCGGCTGCTCTGGGCAAGTGGGGACTCTGGGTTCCTGCTCAGCACAGTTCTGGCCTCTTGCCTCAGTGTCTTTGTTCTGTTTAGTTCCAGAATTTCTGTTGCAATAAATCATGGTTCTGGGATTAGATTGGAAAGGCTGAAAATGTTTTCCAGCTGAACAGCAAATGGAGTATAGTTACTAGACTCCAGCAGGACCGGATCCGTAGGTGGAGGCTTGTTATTGTCATGGAGCCTGGTGCTCCAACAATACATGACAAAGGTCCTGGGATGGAAGGAACCCCTGCATTACTAAGAAACCCAACGCCATTTTTTTCTCTTCCACAGTACTCGTTTCCCGTCTCTGATTGGCTGTCAAGTGAAATTCTGGAAACAGACATTTGTGTGTCTTTGTCTTTTATTTATTTTTTTTAAATTTTTTTTTTTTTTAAGATTTTATTTGACAGAGACACAGCGAGAGAGGGATCACAAGCAGAGGGAGTGGGAGAGGGAGAAGCAGGCTTCCCGCCGAGCAGGGAGCCTGATGTGGGGCTCGATCCCAGGACCCTGGGATCATGACCTGAGCCGAAGGCAGACGCTTAACAACTGAGCCACCCAGGCGCCCCGTCCTTGTCTTTTAATGAGTCAACTTCGGTGTATTGATAACAGTTGCTTCTGTTTATCCCTTTAGAGTTTACAAAGTCCTCTCCTATTGATTAATTTTTAAACAATGTTATGGAATAAGTAGTTATTCCAATTTACAGGGAAAGAAGCAACTGAAAATCCTATTAAAGGAAAGTGACATTAGATAGCGTTGAACTAAATTTTACTTCTCATGTTGACATCCTATACTTTCCATTACTGACAGCTAAGCACGAGTTGGGGAACGGGGGGAAGCTCACTTTGACTCTTGACGTCTCCATCTCCAGAACAGCCCAGGCTGATTCCCCACAACTCATTTCTCCTATATTTAAAATGAAAATAAATCAGACAGTCAATATTATTGTGATGCTTTTACACCCTTGTGGGTGCCGAGGCTGCAAACACCACTGCCCAGTACAAGAGTCACATGGCGAGAACTGCTCTGTTGGCTCTAGAAAGCAGGGTGCAGGGCTGGCTCAATAAGGAGCCTGCTGTCGGGATGGCATGTGCAGAGGGATGCCATGAACCCTCACTCGCCCCTAAAAAGTACCAATAGCTTTATCCAAAAATGGCTACACTAAACAGAAGGGCTCACCTAGAAGCCGAGACATGGGCCGAAACTAACAATACCTGGATTTGGTTAAAAGGAAATGTTACCCATTGAGAGGAAAACAAAGAAAGTTCAGAACCTCACTTAACAGATGGTTGGGTAAAAAGACGTGGAGGTTTGGTTATGTAAGCTAAGCTCTGGGTGAGTTCCCAGCGGTTGGATGGACTGTGGGCTAATGAAAGTGGGGGCTTGGCAGACCACTTGTTCCTGGAATGAAGGAGGGAATATCTGTCCCTGGATAAAGACCCTGCCATCTGATTAAAATACCACCCCTAGGGGGAAAAATACAATAAAATAAAATGCCACCACTAGATTAAAGCAGTGCTTCCAGAAAGGTCCTGGTAAATTCCTTGGCTTGAGCTATGGGAGGGGTGTTGGATGTTAGTGTGGCTCAATTGTTTCTCTTAAACGTGGTGTAGAAAATTGATGGTTAATCAAGAGGTCACTGGTTCGTATCCGGGTGCCCCCTCAAAAAAGAAAAAAAAAAAAAAGATTGTTAGATTAGTCAGCAACAGATAGGAAGGAATGAGGGTCTAACCTAAGAAAGGGTGTTGAGGTCAGGAGAGGAGAAATTGTTCTGGAAGCTTAAGCCCTTTGAAGTGCTGAAACCTGACATACCCCAATGGAAGCTCTAGAATTGGCCCTGACACCACGTCCCCTCATGAGGATGGTACCCTGACTGTGCAGACAGTGACAGTACTGCACTGGGCAGATAATATGCCCCTTCCCTCAGCTCACAGGATCCACCTGCTACCCGAGTCAAGGAAAGGAAAGCTACGTTATCAGATTCTAACATTTATGTCTTTGATTAAGACCCCCTTCCTCCCCAAAAAGCATGAAATTTCTTTACAGTAGGGACCACATGTTGTGCAACATGGCAAGTTGTTCTAAGGGAGGTAGGCCATCCAAACTGAAATGCCGTGCTCCTCTCTGGGTCTTAGATTCTCGGCCTAGATAATCACTGACGTTTCTGTGATGGACATGTTCAGGCCCCTTAGCTGCATAATTTGGGGGTGCCTGGAAGCACGTTAGTACATTGTTCGTCCCGTAA